TCTATTCTGGAAACTATTAAACAATGGGGTGACAGGTAAAATGTATCAAATTATTAAAAGTATGTACAGTAATATAAAATATAAAATAAAAATGAAAGATGGACTAACCAATCAATTTAATTCAACACTGGGTGTTGAGCAAGGGTGAAATCTGAGCCCTTCACTCTTTAACATTTTTATTAATGATAAACTGATAACCTGGACCATGAATCATGTGATCCACCAAATTTAAATAACACACCAATCGGCTGTCTAATGTATGCAGATGATATAGTTATTCTTTCTAAATCCAAAAGTGACCTCCAGAATGCCCTTGATAATGTCTCAAAATACACACAGAAATGGAAACTCGCTGTGAACACAGAAAAAACAAAAATTATGGTTTTTAATAAAAATAAACTCTATGACAGTGATTTATTCTTTTTTGAAGGGAATGAGATTAACATCATGAGAAATTATAATTATTTAGGTATTGTTCTCAGCCCAGTATATAGTAAAGAGAGGGTCATTTTATACAATGAAGCTGAACAGATTATTCCTGACTTTACAAATCTTACACCTGAAAATAAATTCATAAAAATAATGTCAACTAATAGCATAACAATTCCTCTGGCGCAATATCTGAAATACAGCTTTGTTATTAGACAGAAGCACCTACTTAGTCATTGACTTTTTTTTGTTTTATACCTATTATGTGTTCATTGAGTTCTTGTTTTTATATTCAGTTTATAGTTTTTTAGCCCCCGCCGGATCTGCGATCCGGGCGGGGGGTATTAATTTGGGTCGTGTCTGTGCAATGTGTGTGCACATTTTCATGTTACCAGCTTTTTCTCACACATGTGTGTTCCAATTCAGTTCAGAGTTGGTACAGAGGCAGAAATTGATGGTGCTATTGTGCACATCAAGTTATTTTTTCGATTCTTCAAAGTTTAAACTGTGTTTTTCCTTGATTTTTAACATTTTTCCTTCAAAATCCGACTTTCCCCGAAATTACCCGAGTTTTGATGACGCTTACGCAGTTCTCGTCTTGGTGGAAATCAGTCAATTTTGTGAGGATATTGTATCCCGGAATCTTTATTTGCGCAACGCTTCTATGGACAAAATTGTGTCTCGTCAATTTCAAAGGTAAGAAACTGTGCTTGTTATGGTATTTATACACTTTGTATTATCGTTTGTGTCTCGGGTTTGGTGATCGTGAGAAACTATTGCTAACCTGGCGAGAGTTTCGCCAGAAAAACTGCCTTTTTATTATGGTTGTAGGAACTGATTATGTATTGTGTAAATTGAAAGTTTACCTCGTGACTTAAGAGGTTTGCAGTGCTCTCACCGGGATTCAAACGTCGTGGTGGTGTCGGCGCAATGCTGCTCTGAGACGCTTGCCAGACTCTGCCTTGCTCAAAATCATTATCGCCATGCTTGATTTCCGCAACATTTACATTTGTTTATGATTTCCACAGCTATTGTTCTATGAGATGCGTCCTCGCTATTCATAAACAGCCATAAACAAGTTTAGTTGGGTCGGCATGTACTCATTGAAAGTGTTTATTTACGTAATCCACTGATCACGCACGCAATAAGCGAAGTTAAAAATATGTCGGTACTCAGAGAGCTTGCCCACACGCTAAATGTCCCAATATAAACGTACCGGTACGTTTATTTTTTTCACAGAAAAATTCCACCCGGCACATTTTTATTTGGGACGGTACGTTTATTTATTTTTCTAAATCCGATTTAAAAAATCATGCCTTTTTCCCATGAGAAACAAAGCCAAAAGATCGCACTAAAACATCGGTAAATCTGGTCTTTCGTGTTGCTTTCACCATGAGGTCGCTGAACTGTCATATTTAAATGCTTTATGGTAATTTGAGCACATGGGCACCATCAAGCATTTTGATTGGCTGATTAGCGACTTGACCTATCTGGTCAATAAACACGCGTCGTGGGCGTGGATAACATGGCGGATATCGTCTCATCGAGCGTTAACATGTAACCGAAAACATTTGCTTACGATAAAACTAAGTTGAATTTTACTTGCATTTCATAACAATTCAACGAATTTATTTTTTGTACGTTACAGTGGTTTCCACCAAACCTCGAACGTTGATTTTGTATAAAATGTTAATACACTACTAAAGTTGTTTTGTAACATTGCGAGTAAATGTTTACAAGTTTCTCAAGATATTATCAAAGTTGCGGTAAAATCAAAGAGTTGTTTATATTGGAAACCAGACGTGAGTAAATGACATGCTGTCAACAAATATAACAATAACCAATCAACACAAAGATCGCGATTTTACCCGGGATACTCTCAAACTGAATGCTGAGTTGTTTATATTGGAAACCAGACGTGAATGATGTCCTGTTAAAAATATAACAATAACCAATCAACGCAAAGATCGTGATTTTACCCGGGATATATCTACTCTCAAATTCAAATTTGCTGAGGAATAACAACTTGACCATGTTTTGAAGTCGACCCGATATGGCAACGCCTCATGCAGTACGTGAAAAAATAGTGGACATGTTTTTGAGTGGACGTTCTTACGGGGATATCTCAAGAATTGTTGGTGTTTCTAAATTCACAGCCTACTCCATATGTCAGAAATTTACATCCACTGCAAATTTTGATCGAGAAACTGGCGGTCCAACGGAATGTTCGAAACTCTCTCATAATGTATTACAGCACATCGAGTACTACAAAAAATCTCAGCCTAGTATTTATTTGAAAGAGATTCAAAACAAACTGGTGGTCGACCGAGTCTGCGCAGGGGAGAATGTTCCCAGCATTACGACTATACATCGTGGTATAATGCAGCATTTAGGTATGACACGAAAAAAAAATACCAGTGTTGCTGCAGAGTCCACAACAGCGAGAAACCATGAGTGGATGCTTGACTTTATGGAAGCTATTACAAATTACAATGTTAGACAACTGTACTGGCTTGACGAATCGTAAGTAATCCGTACAACTGGGAACCGTATCTACGGGCACGCTGAAAGAGGGCAACCTGCAGTCCAAGTTCAAAGACATGCCAGTAATGCCAACTATACCACCAACTTGCTAACGAGTGCGTCGGGTATTAGCCATGCTGATATTATTACTGGGCCTTCCAACGGTTTAGAAATGTTGGATTTTTTTGATGACGCAACAAGAATCGTCGATGTATTTGAAAAGCCCATTTTATCAGATGGAGATTGCGTTGTTGGTTTCACCACAGACATTTTGTAGAGCCAGCACTAAGAGATTTACTACGTAGACAGGGAGTTGAACTAATTTTTCAGCCTCCATACAGTTCACAGTTTAATGTTTGTGAACTCTGCTTCCGCTATGTAAAAATTTGCCTGAGAGGAAATGTGGAGTATTCTTATCGATTTACTGAACTTGCTGTTGCCGAGGCAATTAGGAAAATTGGTCCTGGTGCATGTCGTCAATTTGCTGCAGAGTGTGGTTATATATAAATAAGACGTCAAACTGAAATGCATATAAAACGTAATTTGTTGATATTATTTAATAACTCAAATAGAAATATAGAGGGTAAAAATGAGATCTCGTTAACGCGTCAAGTATGATTTTGTATGGTTTCACTTTATAAATGATTATATAATGAACACATTATACACAATGTACTGTTTTTTTTATTTTATTTATTCATTACCATGTATACTAATCAGGAGGAGCCATCATCATGGGTTGTAACTTAGTATCACCGCTCGTTGTCGATACAACCGTCTCAGCAGTGTTTTTTTTATCAAGCATAGGTGATGATCCATCGAGAATAAAAATCTTTGCTTTCACTGTAGAACCGTTTGTATTTAAACGCATGTTCTCTAGTACTAATTGTCTGAAGCGA